CAAAGCAAGCGCCACCTGATCATTTCAGCCAAACTAAACGGTGATGCTGAAGCCAATGGCTTCATTTCACAGATCCAACAAGCCACCTGATACTTGAGTCTCGTTCAGCCAGCTGGAGCTCAGCAGAAAGAGGAATTTCCCAAATGACAGCTGGTTTCTGGCCAGAGTTCCCACTGAGCACCTTTGGCTGCTGCCCTCTTTCATTCCTCTCTTACAAACTGATCTCAGCTGATACCAGACGTTCCTTCTTCCTGAATTTTGAAGTGTCTCTCTGAAATCAAAGTGTTCCACCAAAATCTGGACAGTAAAGCAGCTGCAGCTGAAGACACTGAGCACAAAATCCAGCTGCTCTGAACACCGAGAGGCTCGAACAGAACAACTCTGTGTTTGTGGGGTCTGTGATGAACATGTATGCATGAAAAGATTATAAAAGAACACAAGGACACGAGCCGCTGACTTCCTGCTTCATAGTTTTGTTCTTTTACTCTGCCGGAGCAGCTCTGCGCGAATCACAGCCCAAAGCAATCGTTATATAGCTCACACTGATTGGCTGCCTCTCGTAAACACAAAGCTCAAAGGGGAGCTGGTTGGGACCAGAAGTGACCATATAAGGATTTCCATCCACATGACATCACAGACATTCACGACTGATGAGTTTATAAAACATTCGTTCCATAAAACCAATGAGAAATAATAAACAGGAAAACACAAAGAAATATCATCATCATCATCATCATCATCATCCCTGTGGATAATAAAACATGTCATACCCTCAGAGTTATTTATTATCTTTGAGGGAACAATTAGTAAAAAATAAACAGATTGATTAATATAAAATCGTCATGTGCAGCTCTGAGCTTCAGTATTATGGGATGTATCATAACTGCACTAGTGTAACGTCGCTGAAGGAGAGGAACACACGTCGGTTGTCTTTGACTTCTTTTCTGATAAATCACTGCAGGAAACTTCAAAAAGTCCATTTTAGGTGAAACCTCGATCACCGTGTCAGAGAGAGAGCTGCTCGAAGAACGTTACAACATAAAGAACTTTTTTTTACTCCATTTAGATGCGAGGCTCACGTTCTAGCTGTGAGTCATTTTCTAAAATACAGCCTTCGGTGCTTGTTTGAGGACTTTTCCAGCCTGATAGAGTGAAGTTTTTATCCTGCCAGCTGGGACCTGCCTGCTTCTGTCACCAGACTGGGAATGATGATGATCTTCCGCCTTTATAGTACCAGGAAAATGACTGTGCAGAATCCGTCG